AGAGGACGTACGGTCACCCCATGTAATCTGGAAGCATTTATAGTTATTCCTGGAGTAAGATTTTGCAGGTTTATCTGTTTTAATATGAACCAATTAGATACAAACTCCCTATCAGTTAAATCCCGGTCTTTAAAGCTGACGTTTATTCCTCACCCTCGCTGCAGGTCTCACATATCGTCTGCTTGTACCCGTTGTGGCTTATTCATTTAGAGGTGATCTCATATGTCGTCCAAATGCCGTCTTGCGTAATAAGCAGTACCGCACATGCCGTCTGTGGTTGTATTTTATATCTTTTCCATACTGTATCAAGATGCCCACATGTTACCCCGCAGACACTGAGAGGTACTACTGTATATGAAGTGAAGCAGTTTTACTGCTGGTAAAACTGCCTGTTAAACATCTGAGGCATTTCTTTATCTCCCTCCTCTTCGGTTACAACAATTTCAGACTCTGATTTGAACAGCGGGAACCTACGGCGAATCAAAATCATGTGTTTGCCATGGGTTCACTGTATAAATTAAACACATGAATGAGTTAATCCCATCGCTACAAATACGGCAAGAGGCGCTCATGACGCCACTTGTATACGCCGTGTGGATGAAGTGTTGACAGTTCTCAGAGTCAGTTTCTTGTGTTGTGGGTTTTTCCGCTGAAAACTGTTAACACAACACAGATTTTCAATGTATTTGTGAGTGATCAGATATATATTCGCCTGTTGTATATCTGCTGCAATTGTAGCCACTCCAGATCATTTCTGTCATAAACATCACAAATTAAAGTCCTGGTATGTGTGGTCTGCCGTTTTGGAGGGACTTGGTCATGTTTGCATTCGCAGACTTAAATGTCATCAGAAAATCATTACAATAAAATCTGCAAGTCTTTGTTTTTCAGGGTAAATTTCACCCTCCATCGACTGAGCCCACTTTAACAGCTCAACACAAACTAAATATTGTTTTATCACCTCTTGAATTGAGCCAATTTTTCGAGAACTTCTCATAAACAAGACATTTTTAAGAAGCCCGCCAGAGAAGATTATGTATTACCTCAGCTTTGGAGGCCCAGCTGCACAGCCTGCCAACATGCAACAGCTTTTTATGTGGTATAGATCCAGTAATGTTGTCTTCAGTACCCAGTGAGTAATTTCCACTGAGACAATGTTTGAAAAAAGTATCCGGACACTTCTGAAAGGAGGTCAAACAAAGGTTCAAAAGTGGCTTAGTGAGGATATTTCGATATTTTGAGGATATTTAAATATTCACACACGTATTCAAGTTGGATGAATTGTATTATAATGTACAGAATATGATTTTAACTTACAGTACTGTGCTGTTCTTTGCATGTTGTATTTTATCATGAGTCATATTGTATTAAGTTATATTGTATCGCATCATATAGTATATCATATGGCATCTTATCATATCTTATTCTATTGTATCTTATTGTATCTTATCTAATTTTGTCATATTGTATCATATACAAGACAGTTCAATACAAGAACTTTATTTATCCCCCGAGGAAAATCCATATTGTATGGTATCTAATTGCATCCTAGCTACCTAAATCATATCTAATTGTATCCTATTGCATAGTTTTCTAATTGTACTATATTGTAGCCTATCATATGGTTTTATATCATATCATACCACATTGAATCGTATCATATAATTTAATATTGTAGCCTATTGTATCTTGTTGTTTCCAATCATGTTGTTGGGTTTTGTTAAAATATCGTGATGTATTGTATCATATCAAATCATCATATCTTATTTTATTGTATCGTACCATGTCATGATATGTTCTGTTAATTTAGTTTTTTCATAATTTTGTTATTTGAGTGTATTTCCTGTGTGTTTTTCCTCATGTTTCTGTTCCCATTGTTCCTGTGATCTTGTCTTGTGAGTTTTCAGTTTGTTTTTGACCCTGTTTCTCTCACGTTCTCAGTGTTTTTCTTTAGATCAGTTGTTAGTGTTTCCCATTTTATTTTGTAGTAGTTGATTCCTTGTGTTTCTAGTCTGGTTTTACTTCCCTTGTTTTCCCTCCTTTGTTAATCAGTCATGAGTTTTACCTGTGTCTTGTCTGCCTCACCTGTTGCTCGTTTCCCAGTGTATATATATATATATATATATATATAGTCCCTGTCTTCCCCTCTGTCCTTGTTGGTTCATTGTATGTAGGTCGATGCATATTCTTGTGTCCCCTGTTGCTCCCTCTGATTTTGTCCCAGTGATTTTTGAGGATTTTTCTCTTTTGTTGCTTTTTTTTCAATTAGTTTTTTAAAAGAATCATTTTTGTTCTGCATTTGGGTCTTTTTCTTTAACACTGTACGTCATAAGCTATTTTACCCCATATTATATGATAACATATCCAAACTTGTCATTTGTTATGTTAGGTTTTTATATCTGTATTATATCATACATCATACTGTATTGTCTCATATACTGTATCATATATAATACTGTATTATATTGTACTGTATAATAATGTTTCAATTAGAATCGTATCATGTTGTTGTATAATACCATGTCATCCTGTATTAAATTATAAATCATATCATGTATCATATAATGTCATATCATACGTCATACCATGTCATCATATCATATCATATCATATCAGATCATGTCATATCATGTCACCATATCATATCATGTCATGTCATGTCATATCATATCTCATCATATCATATCATTTCATGTCATATCATATTATATCATATCATATCTCACCATATCGTATCATATCATATCATGTCATTATATCATATCATGTCATACCATCTTATCATATCATGTCATATCATATCTTTTCATTTCATGTCGTATCATATTATATCATATCATATCATATCATATCTCACCATATCGTATCATATCATGTCATGTCATTATATCATGTCATGTCATGTCATATAATATCATATCATGTCATATCATGTCATTATATCATATCATATCATATCATATCATGTCATGTCATGTCATTTCATTTCATGTCATATCATATCATATCATATCTCACTATATCATATGATATCATGTCATTGTATCATATCATATCATATCATATCATATCATATCATATCATATATCATATCTCACCATATCATATCATATCATATCATGTCATGTCATATCATATCATATCTCACCATATCATATCATATCATATCATATCATATCATCCCACAGAGGAAGTTGCACAGCTGCACAGTTGTCTGAATATAAATGAGTGTTTGTAATAAATAGGGTTTAAGGCATTTTTGGAAAGTTTTTGTCGACATCCTTTGATCCTCTAATCACCATTTCTGTTTCCTTTTTGAAGTCGGGCTCTTTATTAGGCTAGGAAAAAAAACGTTTAGAATAAAAAGTTCACTTAGTAATGAGAGGTGGATCAGAGTAATGAATAAGTTAATGCCAATGCCACCAGATCACAGGGGTTAAATTATCTCCATACTGTAGTGTTTGAGAAGGGCAAGCAGAAAGACACACAAACACACAGGTACACAAACACTCCTGCGTCCTGCGTGCGCTCAGGTCATTGTACGCTATCATTATCCACCACATCTACAGCAGGAAAACAACTGTTATTCAATTTGCACTGAGCAAATCTCTGCGGCTGTTCAATTCATCAGGGCCAATTACTGATACAAAGTGCTGGAGGTTATCTGCGCTCGCCACATATACTGCGCTCATTCACACACAGACCATCGGCTCTGTTATGAATCAGCTTGCCGCCCGCATGGCTGCACAATGGGCTCACAGTGCAGCTGGAAACTGGGTGGTCTGAATGTTTGACACTGCCCAATACAGCTAAAGACCTTACTGTAGTATTAGTTTCTCAAGGATGCTGATTTCAGATCAGTTTGCCCCATATATAATCCTGCTGGATCCAGGGACGAGAGCTGATAAGAGATCAGCCCTGGGAAAACAAAGCTAAGTAGCTGTTAGCCGCAGCAGGGCACACGCAGCTCCGCCGGGTCTGCTCTGTTTGCATGTCCTGCTTTGTGATCCCTCCTAATTGGCCGTCATTACACCCCACATTACCCTATCAGGGCACGGCTAGAGGGGGAAACAGACCATGGTGGTGGATGGCACGCTTTGGTAAGTCTGAATTACACAACACCGGGCCCATGACTAATATTGGCGCAGTCGATAACTGCTAATGTAAGCAATGGAACAGATGCCCATGGTGGAGTAACAACAAATATAGTCCGGTTAACCTTCTCGCAAGGCTGCCTTCGACCAGTCGGGAGAGGCTCAGGCTCGGTCAAGCGCACATGATGGCTCTCATTGAGCTGTGATTGTGTTTCACTCTGTTGTGTTAAGTGTTTGTTAGTTTGGGCTGTGCGTTTTGTGCACTTTGTGGCTGTATACGCAGTTTTCTATGCGTGGGTGTGCTCTCTGTGGTCAGTTGGGTGTATTTGATTATGAAATGCTCCGCCACGATGTTAAAAGTGAAAAAAAAGTCCTTTATGGTAATAAAAGGTACCGAGGCGAACAAACAAAAGTGTGTTTATTGGAGTAAATACGGACGAGGAGTCACTCGAGACCGTCCAGAAAGGAAGACAGAGACGGAAACAACAAAGATTACTTCCATACTTTTTTGTGACTCATGAGTTTAATTGTTTGTTTTGGTTCGGAGAGTCTGCTTATGTTAATTACGCTCGCCTCTGTTTGAGAAAAATAAGAGTCAAAAATATTTTTCAGCCCAAACACAAACACTTTGACAGAACGCAAACATGAGAAGTCTTCCCCCCCAACAGAAATCCACACCTCTCAGCCCCGCAGAAGGAAATTAAACATCTGTCTTTTCTCTCTCTCGCTCCTGAAACACTTGGCATCTTTGAGCAATTTTTCTTTCGGCTTCTTCTGTTTCTTTTTTTCTTGGTCAGGTCTGGGATTCCCTTGCTGCAGCCGAATTCAATTTACTGCCATTTTTTTCCCCCCCAGTTTCAAGCCCAGTTCGTCTCGTACCGGAGAGTTTGAGACTGAAGGCCGAATCTAAACCGCCACAGAACCAGCCTGGGCCGTCTTCAGCTCCTCGATAGATGATTCTGCAGCCTTGACCCATGTGCAAAGCTGCCGGGTCGCTTGATTGAAGTGCACCACACTTGAGAACATCAGCGCCTTGCATCCATTGAAATAATAAGCTGACCCAGAGAGCTGCTCGCCTTTGAGCTGAAGCCAAGCCATCTGAATCCACTCTGCCCAAATGAGGGCTTATTTTTCAAAGCGTCTCTCTCCCATGTGCTCGGGCCGACCCCCGCGCCCGTCCTTTTTGAGTTTCTATACGCGCAAGAGTCGGTGAGTGAAAAGGGCGAAAAGAGGCCTGCCTGGAAAGGAGCGGATCACGTTCGTGGCTAAACAGTTTGTTTGGTGATTCACATGTTCCTGGAAAGTTTGTCTTTCCCTGTTTGGCGAAAGTCACGGATTTTCTTTCCAAATCAACCCCACCCCCCGAAAAAGTTTTGTTTGGTGTTTATTTCCTAACCTTTAAACCAACAGACACGACTTTTCTCCTGCGCTCTTTCTCTGTCATGACATCTAGAAAAAGTCCCGCTGATGCACAATATGAGTTTGACGGACTGTATCTGCACTATTTAAACTGCACTTTCGTCAGACCTTTGGTGCTTGTTTACGTGATAACATATATTTTACTCTTAGTTTTAAGTTTTCCTTTATTTGACTCTCCTCCTCGAGCATCCTCCAGGATCTGGGACAGACGAGGACACACGACAGGGGAGTAGAGACTTGGGGGATCAAGAAAAAAGGTCTTTATATGCGTCTGAAAAGGCAGTGGTATAATAAATGTACTGTATGCTTGTGTAGGAATACTTTATGTATGCAGGGCTGGTGATTTGCATAAAGACACAGGATGTCCTGATGTGTTCGGTTTTGATCCAGAATTTTACAAATTTATGATTTTATGACTTGGCAGGGGTTTGAATAAATACTATAGGCTGAAAATAATACGGCAGAGATTTTTTTACTCGCATTTTTTCCCAATCACTTAACATATAGCTGCTAAACATATGGCTGAAAGACAACTAGCCCTGAGCCATAGCCGCCAAAATGAGTATTCATCTTTTTTTATTGTAAGAGCAAAATGTATCTCAAAATATACTCTCAAACATTTGTAGACAGGCTTTTTAAAAAGAGCTGAATTTTAAATTTTTGTGATTATTTAAGATACCAGGGTGTCGTAGTTTGGTTTAACAGTATCTGCCTGCTGTCTGTTCCAACATTTGGAACGTAGAGTTAATGTTTTGGCTCCTCAGCACCACATTGTTTGATATATCAGGGCAGAGCCAGGCCAAGCCTCTTTAACTGTAATAATATTGATTGTTTATCATACACACACCTTAACAAATCTCTTTGATTAACATTCCATAACATGCAAACATACCTTTATCTCGATGTATTTTCTCTTCTCCTGAAGGATATGTCCACCACAGTCACAGCAGGAAGCAAGAAGACACTGCAGCAGCTTATCTATGGTGTGCCTAAGGGGACAAAATAGGATATGGTGAAAAAAAAGTTCAGTCTTTAACCTTAATGATTTGTTTTTAATGTTTCAAGACTAACAGCCTGATAGATAATAACTGTTTTATGAAACAAACAGAGGATTTGATTAAAGCACCAAACCTCATTCATTTTTTCATCTGTTTTACATCTGTCTTACATGGTTTTACATCTCAAATAACTTCAGCGATATTTTAATCCAGTTTTACACAAAGTGCATATTACTGTTCACTTATCAACTGAGCCGCCTAAGAGTGTATGTGCACACTGAACAGCAGAAGGCACATGACGGTAGTGGAGCTTTGCCATATCGGCAGTAAGAGTCATAGGCCTACATCAACAGCACTAAAATGTTTTTACCTTATTTTATCATTACAATGATATATATTTGATCATACAGGAAGCATCACTCATACATGCAAAAAATAAAAAATATTTTACATATACATATATAAATATATATATATATATTAAAAAAATAATAAAATAAATAAATAAATATATAAATATATATATATATATATATATTTATATATAATAGAGTATATATATATATACATATATATATATATATAGAGAGAGAGAGAGAGAGAGAGATTTTTTTACATTTTTTTTTTTTTTTCTTTTTTTAATTGCTCTTGGGGGCCCCCTATTGGTGGCGGGGACAGCTCTGTATCAGGGCTCTGAAAAGACTGAGCCAAAAGCAGACATTTGATGTATCCCCCTTCAAAACAACGATATGAAGCTAATTGTTGAGCTGTACCTGTAACAGTCTACCTGACTCCATGTAAATAGGCTTCTGTGCAGAAATCAGAGTATTTAACAACATCTAGTGATCAGTTTCTAGATTGAAACGGTCCCGTTACTCACCCCTCGGTGGCCTTTAAGGACAATAAACTGATTGATACACGCTCAGAGTGATTCTCCATTTGTTAAGTTATTAAGACAAATTTTCTTTATATTGACAACCGCTCTATTCTTCTTCCTTTTTTTCTTCCAACTGGTGCATTTCGACATCCTCCCACTAAACACGAGAACAGCTGTTGCTAGTTTGTCCCTCCTTTGCTACTGTAGAAAGTCATGGCATCGTACGATGACATGCAGATGTAAAAGACTCATTTTAAAATAGTCAAAAACAAAAAAAATAAATCTAATATTCTGATGATCGTACGCCAACTAAAACAGAGTTTTGATGTTCCATTCCTACCGAGTCTGTTCTGCTAAATGCCACTAAAATAAACTGTACCTTTCAAAAATTACCAACTTAATTTAAGAGCGGGGATTTTTCCTGGTCTGAGGAAAAGTTGTTGGACAATGGAAAGGAAAAACACATGCCTTTTTACTATTTTTAACATTTAAAGACAAAGAAATAATAGTTGCAGCGCTCATAAAGACATAGATTTTGTAGAGATATATTCAAACTGTTGCAGCAGGGCCTTATTGCACGCCAGGTGCATAGATTCTTCTGTTTATCACAACATCTAGAGTGGCAGTGGAGGTTTTCAAGACGCTAACAGGACCCTGACAACTTCATCAGAGTTGAGGGGTCGTATGAAAAGGTGTAAATAAGTCAAATTGTCCTCTCAGATTCTACTAAAGCTCCCCACGGCAGCAGAGAGGAATCCGATGGTCTCTATTTTTGCTCTGCAGATCTTCATGTTGTTTCAATTTCACGCAGCTCTGTGAGACGTCTCAGGCTCCACTAATAACACTCACTTCTCAGTGTGTCCCTGTTTTTCTCTCTTTCTTTCCACTCTGACAAGTCTTTACAACATCTGACATGTGTTTGAATTCAAAAGGCCAATTGAAGACTCCTCTTTTCCATGCTCATCTATCCATTTAGGGGCTTCTATCTTTGCTGTCGCTCGCTCTTGATTAGAACTGTCGGTGAGCCATCGTCACTCTGCAGCCTGTTACAAGCCCCGCCCACTCTCTGTCTGGCTGCAGCACAGTAGCCAGTCAGCAGATTGCATGAATGGGATCCGGAGTGGACATGTGGCTGCAGGAAAGAAGGGGATGCATGAAAAATGTCAGTCAGCGGTCACTTCCAACTCGTCATGAGAAAGATGAAGAATGCAGGAAGAGGAGGAGGAGGAGGAGGAGGACGAGCAGGGAGAGGAGAGAAAGACGTCAGCTTGCAATCTGCTCCCTCAGCACTGCTCCTCAGATGTGGTCTGGCACCTAGTTCACAAAGTCAACCAGATCCACACATTGCCTTCATATATCTTTGGAAAAGGGGGTGAGTGATGGTAGAGGGGTGTGATGGGGGGGAGAAAGTGAGGAGGAGGGAGTCGAAGAGGAGTGGGAAAAGCGAGTCTTTTGTGTTTACTCACACCGAGTCACTGCCAGAAACTTTAGACCACATAAGCGCCTCACTTTTGTCATCTCTGCTGACCCGGTCCCATGTGAAAGATTGATGAGGGAGATGATGAACTAAAATAAACCAATCTCACAGTCACTCACACAGACAGGCAGCCAAGAGAGGCAGAGGAGCAGACAGACAGGCAGGGAGGGAGGCAGGCAGAAAGGCCCTCTTCAGAGAGCTAAACCAGATCCAGAGGCTCCTCAGGCCAAGTCTTTTCAGAAAGAAGAAGAAGAGGAGGTCTGCTCCGGTCAGAAGCTGCCTGCTGCCCTCTTTTGTCAACATGATGACTGCACTGAACCGAGTTATCACAGTCCCGTCATCACAAACAGAGTGAAAGTGACCAAATAACCAAAGAGTCGGAGTGAATCAAGAGGAAAAACCTTTTTAAATGATGACTGCCTTCAGTTTTTTATCAATTTTACCCCGATTTACTCTTTAGTGATGACTTATGGGGCCTTATGTTGGGGTAATATAAGTTTGAAGTTACTTCTGAAAGAGATACTTATACTCTGTTTAATCTGCATTTCAAAACTGTTTTAACTCCATGTTAACACTATACAGCAATACCAGCCAACCTGAGGACACCACCTAGACTCTAGACCTCTGGCACGGTGCCGGAAATTCGTCTCGAGATTTTTTTTTTTCTTTCTAAATCATGTCAAAAAGATCTGAATATGACCAGTAGAGGACAGCATTACGCCAAAGAAGAAGCAGAAGAAGAAAAAGACGCATCAGCGAGCGGCGAATGGCAAATTTGAAATGATGGGTGTCCAGGAGAAGAAACAGCGGTATTGGAAGCTGGGCTTAGGTAGAGGAGGCTGGAGAAGATGGAAAGTCTTGCGAGAACTGAGAGAGCCAGGTGGTTGTTTGAAAGCTTATAAATGGTAGCAGTGGGAAAAAAGTTTGGTAAAGTTAGAAAGATATTCGCAGATTCGGACTTAGGGTTAGTCTTTAACCTTAATGATCTGTTTCTAATGTTTTAAGACTAACAGCCTGATAAAGAATAACTGTTTTATGAAAAAAAAAACAGAAGATTTGATTAAAGCACCAAACCTCATTCATTTTTTCATCCGTTTTATATACATCTGTTTTACATTTCAAATAACTTAAGCGATATTTTAATCCAGTTTTACACAAAGAGCATACTACTGTTAACTTATCAACTGAGCTGTCTAAGAGTGTATTTTTAAGTACAATGCGTGATTAAAAAGCACAGCGGTGTCATATTTTTCCACCACAGTAGCAGCAGGAAGCAGGAAGACACTGCTGCAGCTTAACCATGGTGTGCCAAAGGGGACAAAATAGGATATGATTTAAAAAAGAAAAAAAGGTTAGTCTTTAACCTTAATGGTTTGTTCAATGTTTTAAGACTAATAGCCTGATAGAGAATAACTGTTTTATGAAAAAAACAGAAGATTTGATTAAAGCACCAAACCTCATTCATTTTTTCATCCGTTTTACATCCGTTTCTATAAAGTCTTTGGCCTCATGTTAAAACACTTTCAACACACCATTGTGCACACAGATATACTAGAGATTTGCAGTTTTGTCAGTTCTAAGCTGTAATCTATCAATTAATTTCATCAAAATCACATGAAAGTAAATTTATTTTAACTCTCCTTCAGATACACGATTAAAAAAAGGGATTCATGGGATAAAATAGGGAAAATACTTTAAATATTTACTTAACACCAAAATGTATTCAGTATTTTTTTGATCAGTTTTGCCCCACATGATAGCTGAAACTGTTAAAACACAGCTGTGGGCATAAGTCAGAATAAAGTCCTTTATTTTTTCCTCTATACGGGTTTTCTCCTCACCAGAATAATAATGTTCTTTTAAACATCATGGGACAGAATATATAGTATATCTGCTCTGCTTCAAAAATCACTCTCCAGCATTCAGAGCTGCAGCTTTTATGAATCCATAAAATGATGTCTTGTTTTAACGAGAAAAGAAATTCATTGCTAGCGTAATTGGTAAGTGCCCAAATCATTAAGCCCTAATGCGGGGCATTTCCTTTGGAGGTAGTTTCCATTTAAGAGACAAGTGTCTAATTGGTGAGTTGTTGAAAAGCACCACTACCTCCCCAGAGATCGTTTCTCAAATCATATAGAGGATAATTCCCTTTCAATTAAAAGCTACAGTATTCCAGGTTTGATTTAATTGAATGCGTTTATTCAAATCACGAGGGGGGGTTGGGGGTGTAAAGTGGGGGTGGTTGAGGCAGCCTGATGCCATTAAGGGCTGTGTAATATTACCAGGCCAGTGTGAAAATATCACTGTGTCTCAGGAAAATAGAGCAATATCAGAAATAGACTGCAGGGAGGAAAAAAAAAAAAACACTCTTAAGTCGACGACGGCGGCCGGCGAGGGAGCAGATTGAATAAACAATGTTGAGAGTAGAAAGCGTAACGCTGAATAAAGATGACCTGCCGCCACCGCCGCCACTGTATTAGGATATTATTGGAATTAGTTTAGCAGCCGATACTGAACATTGAGTGTTTGTCAGCAGACTGAATGGATCTCCTGCAGTTTGGAAATCAGTGCAAGAGTGGAAAACAGAGAGGGGGGCGTGTTTCAGTCTGTGTGAGAAGCTGCTGCAGGGTTAAATCATGATCAGAGGGGGTAAAAGTGAACTTTTAGAAGTGTTTAAAAACTATACCAAAATGAGAGAGAAAAGAAACAGGCTGTTATGATGCAGAAAGTAACTGAAACTTGTGTTATTTTGGAGGAAATTCAACTATATAATTCAACTTTTTCTGATTCAAATAGCTATAAAAAATAAAGATCACCAACTTTATGAAAAAAGTTGCAACTTTGAAAGCAAAGTTAGGAAGTTCACTGTCATCTATGTCATACAATTTTTGTACAAGATTGTTTCTTCAAGTAACAGATGTCACAAAACGTAGCCCTTCAATGCCTGAAACCACAAATTATGGCTGGAAAATTCTAATTTTTTTGGAGCTAAAATGTTTATTTCACTTAATACTGAAAATTAAAAAAAAAATAAAATTGAACAAATATATATTTTTTTCGTTTGATTCATTAGATGTTTCTTGAAACTAATAAACTATAAGAGGACATTTATTCTTTTATTGGTCTGTATTCAGGTGTTTCTTTGTTGATCATATTGATTTGATAGAAGTATCATAAAAGTATGTATCAAATATGATGCAAAAGGCATTAAAGGGTTAAATGCGAAGTTAGGAATAAATATCAATAAGTCTTGAAGAACAACAGCAACCACAAAAATAGAACAGGACGGGTCTATCATTATCAAAATTAACGAACGAATCATTGATTATAATAAAATAAGCAAAGATATTACTATTATTATTAAGAGGTTTTCACTTAAACTGCTCTAAAGGAATAGTTTGTCTTTTTTTGAGTGGCATCCTACTACATACTTATTAGCAGTAAATATATAACTGCAGGAAATGCTGGTCAGCTCAGCCCTTTATTAAGGAAACCATCATTTTAGAGTGCTCCATCTGCAAACAGGAATTAATGGGCTTTCTGGAAGCAAAGTAAATGGTAAAAATGCACTAAACGATTTCAGTGTTTGTGTTGAATCAGTCACCAAATTTACCTGAAAATAGAAAAAGCTAAATCAAACAAGTCCTTCTAAAAGAGGTCTAACTTTGGTCAACTACACGGTCTCATTGATCAGCTGACCCGAACAAAGATGGCAGCCCCACCCACCCCTCATAAAGCATTGTAAGTTGCTCATCATACCTCTTTTTTTTAGAGCTTTTTTCAGGTGTATAAAAACTGTCTTATATTAGAGTTAATACAGTTATAAAATTAACGAAGTGTTTGGTAGAGCTTTCCTCGTCTGCAGCACTTTATTGTCTGAGCAGACAAATCAAACCGTCCCTTTGAGAGTTACAGAGACAAACTTTGATTTGAAGATTTTAAAAAGTACAGATGTTTGTGTTAGAAAGTAAGGGGGGAGTGCAATACGTTTATATTTATGTTCAGGGCTCAACAGTGCGACCGTTTCACTCACATTTGCGACTAAAAATAGATGTGTTGTAGAATTGTAGAATGTATTTAGGGGCACATGTGCGCTTAAAAAAATCATGCAATGCAACAAATTTTTTTTTTCATGTAAATACTGCGGTGAAGTTAGTTTTAGGTTGGATATTCGACTCAACACCCTCACTGTCAACGTGGAGTGTTGATTAAGGGACCATCAATAAATTACCGTTTGATGTTCTCAAAAAAGGCTGTTTGCCTTAAAAAGCTTCCATGTCATGTGACCAGTTGACCTAAAATGTCTGAGGGACATGAGTAATTGACTTTGGACCACATGGCAGCTGCCCCAGAGCAGATCTGTCCACCTTTGAGACTCTGGACAGATGTTTTAAAATGGATCCACAGATTAACGCTGTTTTTATTCTTTTTAATTTTACTGTACAGCACTTTGGTCAGCGTTTTGTTGTTTTTAAATGTGCTTTTGATTTCAAATGTCAACTAAAAAAACACGCCTCTTTTTCCTTAATTTGTCCTCATATGATTTTTGTGTTAAATTTAAAGGCAAATTTTGAACATTTTCTTCAATAGCTTCCATGTCATGTGACCAAAAGACCTAAAATTGATTTCAAATTATAGTACTTATGTCGGCCAATAAGACAAACATTGTTTGATCAATTTTCATTGTGCTCCTAAGTTTTTTTGTGTGCTCCTTACTTTGCTTCTCATGAAAAACGTTAGTGTCAAGCCCTGATGTTTAGAGAAATATTGATACTCAAGTAAAGTACACATACATGAAAATTCACTTACATACAATAATGTAAATAAAGAATTTGAACTTTATTGATTCAACCTTAATCCAAAAACTGAGGATGAGTCTTTGTCACGGCAGGGAGACTTTCACTTTGACTCAAACTGAGACAGACTTGGTCAAATCATGAATGTTCCTTCTTGAAAGTAAAGGTGAAGAGTTATCTCACTCTCCTCATCTCTCAGTTTGTTCTTTAAACCCTCCTCCCCCTTCTCTCTCCCCCTCCCCCCCTGGCAGGTGTCACACCCACACTGTGGCCTCTGGGCTGCAGTAGCGGAGCAGCGCGCAGAGATAAGGCCTGTACAGAGACAAGCGCACATCCTGTATGAGGTTAGGGCCCCACCAGCACAGCACTCCTCTGCTGTGTATGTTTCTGTGAGTGTTTCTCTGTGTGTGTATATGTGTGTTTGTGTGTGTTTGTGTGACCGCAGCTCCTTCCCGTCTCCACGCCAACGAGGACAGAGCCTGCGGTTGCCAGGCACAGGTGTATGTGTGTGCGGGCGACAAAGACAGACCTGAGAAACTCCGCCACGGTCTGATCTCATGGTCGTTTTGATAC